TTTTTCTATTTGGCTGATTACTGTGTGCCATTCGGTTTTTGCCTACTGCGTAGCAAATTGTCACAACTTGTAAGGTTGGCGGTTAGGCATTGGTTTAAATTGGTTGGAGGAGGGGTATGGATTGGCTGGGCCTGCCCCTCCAATGCTGCTGCTGCATGGGAATTCCGTTAAAGAAATTCAGGGGCTTACCATTCTTTCCTCCAAACCCCTGGAATTGGGTTTGGGCCGCGTAAGCCCTGGGGAGCATGCGGGGAGAAGCTGAGGGTCTGTACCGCAGCTCCAGTTATCCCTGATCTTGTTTTCTGGCTTTCGTTGGAATCCGGGAGTCAGTGCTGTCCCCAAGGCGGGGGGGGGGGGGCAGATAGTCATAACCAATGCCTAAGCAACCACTCACAATTTGTATGTTCAATAAAGTTGTGGCCAAAATTATGCCAAAATCCTTAAACAAAAATTATGAGTGATGTGTGAGTTATTGGGGTAGGGGTGTTTTGGAGGACCTCAGCACGCAATACAAGCAGCCGTGGTGATGGTGGCAGAAGTGGGCTTTCTTCCATAACCAGAGCTGCCAACCTCAGAACATAGGGGAGGGCAATCTTCTGTTGAGGCATGTCATCCCTGCTCCTGCCTGCAGTGAAGAGTTGGCAGAAGGGCAAGCACTACCAACACATGGCCTCCACATCTGCCTCTGTGGGCACAATGTGTCTTGCCGCTAGCAGGCCATGCATGCCTTGTGACCAGAAACAACAAAACAACAATATTGTGTGGTGCATTGCTGTGTACAAGAGAGAGTATTTGTGCACAAAGCAGCACTGTATTCTAGTTACGGGCAGTAGTACCCATGCAAAACAGATACGAACACTGAAGATTTCATCATAATGCAGATAAAATAAAATAAAATCACTTGAGGCAAATTAAGTGAATAGAATAACACTAGTAATAATGATTATTATTATTTATTCCCCACCCATCTGGCAGGGTTGTGCAACAAGCAGTAGCGTGTATGCAAAACAGACACACACACACAACTTTAGTCTATATTATTATAGTATATAGTTTATAGTATCTTATTATAATAGGGCAGGAAAGGATTGATATATAAAATAAAATCACTTGTGACCGGTTAAATAAAACAGACTGTGCATTGAACTTAAAGCACCTCAGACCATAACTGTTATAAGGAGAGAAGGGAAAGCACTAGAAGAACAAGCAAACGACACGTAGGCTCAAAAATGCAAACAACAGCAAGATTTAATCAAAAGGAATAAATGAAAGAGGACTGCAAGGATCTGGAAGAAATGACAGGCAAATGAGGGACAGGGATGGGATGAGGTAAACGGGTACTGGTGGCTAGAAACATACAAGTAAAACAAAAACCACCAACTATAACTGTGCCTCAGAAGCAGAACTAGTGAACAGCAAGAAAGATGTGAGGGCAAAGCTATTTGTTTACTTCAAATTTCCCACCTTGAAAAAAACCAGGGTTGGAGCGCCATGGTAAAATCACTCCCTTTGATTACAAGCTGCACTTTGATCACAATGGAGCTCTCTCCCTCTCTCCTATCCCCACCCTGTCAATTGCTTCCCCAGCTTGCACAGATTCTGCGTCATCTGCTTCAGACAAGCCCAGAATCCTGTACTTCGGTTCAGCATTTGGGATTCTTCAGAATCTGCTGCACACCCGTAATTTCATCTGTCGTCTTCCATGCAGGAGAATGGATTTCCAACTGCACAACCATATTGTCAGATGATGGTGTGGTTGCTCAAGAGGAAACAGGCAAGACTCCAACCTGTCTTTTCCAGGCTTTATTCTTAGTGCAAAATATTCACAGTGAAGAGAGTCGCAAGTTCATGTCTGGCTCAGTCGCTAGCAGAATCTGGGAGTGGTTGGTCCTTGTACCTCCCCCAGCATAACAGTCGCTTGACCCCCAACCTTCTCCTCCTCTCCCCTCCCTGCACTGAAACATACTGCGCAGAATGGGCACTGGCAGGGGCATACTTCCCGTCTCTCCGGCTTGCTCAGGGTCGGTGTTGAGGCTCTCCCTAGCCTCCCCTGGTCCCACCACCTCCTCCCCACTGGAGGTGGGGCTTTCCTCCTCACCAGAGGAGAAACTGCTTCGCAAGACTTTTGGAGGTTCCCTATAACACAACTGCCCTTCCACCTCTCGCGACTGGGCTGATGGCAGTTCCCTGACACATATGTATGTTTATTCACGATTAAGTCCCGCTGTGCTCGATGGGACTTCCCCCTTAGGGAATGTGTTTGAGATTGCAGTCAGTTGTGGGCCCAAGCGCAATGAAGCCAGGGGGGGGATGGGGGGGACACACAGTTAAGACATAAAATGAGACACAGGACACCAGTGCTGGGATCAAATGAGGCCACAACTTATTACAGATGTAAGCAAGCTTTAGACAGGCATTGGGTATGTATCCAGAATTCATCCAGCCCACCTGCTGGATGAGGGATAATAAGGTTGACCATTGATGGGGGTCCATTGATGGGGACCATTGATTGCTTGGGGTAAACCCTGGAGAGTTGGTTGTGGGTAGGTGGGGGCTTTCCTTCTTGGCAACTGATCCATGGTTTAAGACCTACCAGGCACGAGCTGCTCTGCTCAATAGGCCTGACACTCCGCCATGTCTGTGACAATCGTGCTTTGGTTAATAAAGAGTTAACTCCAACTTGCACGGTGTGATTTATTGCTGGCTGACTGCTGTCACCGGCTCTCTCTAACTCAGTATGCCCATGTCAGTCACCTGCTCTGTTTTGGTCAGAATGCATAATCAATTAATAACAATCTCGAAGCGTCTTCTGTAGAACTATAGGGTATAATGCATCACCACTATTTGGCTTTAAAAATCGAACCACTAATCTGGAAGGAATATGTTCTAAGTAGAGTCTCAAATCAAGTTAACAAGAGCTCTATAAGCCCAATCATTTAGGCAGTGTCATCTGAGCAGATGTTTATGATGCTGTTACAGCAAATGTGGTAATTTAAAGCTTTTCACCTTCTTCAGTGCACTGTAAATCTAAACTTCATAATAAGTTAATGTGAGCACCCACAGAGTTTTGAAGCTACTGAAACCTCATAATTTAAGCTGCATAAAAACAGGGGTGGGTGGGGGGTGGAATCTGTAGGACTAATAGACACATGTATAGAGTTTTTCTTGCTTCCCAAACACTCAGAATTTCTGGGGATGAAAAACAGCATCTGCAACAGCTAATTGACCAAAAGTCTCCAGTGAATCACATGAGATCAAATAATATTGATTCCCATTCCACAATGAGTCAGAATGAATTTATTTATCATGTGCTCCTCCACCACAGATGCCGTGAAAATAGTTCTCTCTCAAAGACTCCCGCAATAATTCAAAGGGATTGTTCTGGTACATGTTCTTTTCTGGTCAGACCCAGGAAAAAACAGCCCAGCTAAATAATCTCATCAAATGGTCACAGGCAACTGAGAAAAGAGTTAGCTTCCTATCTGCTCATCAATGCTTTGAAGTATGGACAAAAGTATCGTTAATGTTATTTGTGGGGATCCTCCATTGCACTTAGTATTCTCTAGCTGACTACAGATCATGCTGTTACTCTGAGGCAGTAACTGCTCAGTAAAGCCAGTCAGAATACTTAGCTTTTTATTATAATTACATGAACATGGAATCTAAATATGAGATGAAAGAGAATACAAACTATAGGAATACAGGAACATTGACTTATACTGAGTTTAAAAAATAGTTCTTCTAGCTCACTATTGTTTACACTGGCTGGAAGTGGCTCTTCAGGGTTTCCGACAGGGCAGCATCTTGTTACACTTTCTTGACTGCACCATACGTTACTTATTGTACCTCCTCCCTTCACAACACCATGTGACATATGCCTCAGAATAAGAAGTCATAATTTGCACTTCTTCACTCAGGCCACTGTACAGTGGTACCTCGGGTTAAGAACTTACCGTAATTTGTTCTGGAGGTCTGTTCTTAACCTGAAACTGTTCCTAACCTGAGGTAGCACTTTAGCTAATGGGGCATCCTGCTGCCGCTGTGCCACCGCCGCGCAATTTCTGTTCTCATCCTGAAGCAAAGTTCTTAACCCGAGGTAATATTTATGGGTTTGCGGAGTCTGTAATCTGAACCGTCTGTAACCTGAAGCATCTGTAACCCAAGGTACCAATGTATAGGGTAGATGGAATCTGTGGCCCTCTAGATGCTGTTAGACTCCAATTCCCATAGCACCAGCCAACATGACCAATGTTGAGGGATGATGGGAGTTGGAGTCCAACAACATCTGGAGGGCTACACCTACTCCTGGTGTAGGCCAAGATTTCTGACAGTCCCCCTAAGTTAGCTTTGCCACTGTAGGGTTGTACACATCTGAAGACAAAGATGTTGGTATCTAAGCAAGGCCTACTGGTGGGACCTTCCAGTCCAGAGAGGAGGTTAGAGCCCAGGGCCTTCAGGCAAGTCCAGGATGGAGCGCAGCTCAAAGCTATATAATAACAACAAAAATCAGCCAAACTTATGCAGTTTTTCTACCTGGCAATCCTAGGGATGTCAGAGAATTTCTATGAAAAGGAAATGGGAGCGGAAATTGCTGGTGATCAATTATTTGTGCCACGTAGGCAACGGAAATCAATCCAGTGAGTAGGACCAGCATTCCGTATTGTTGTGGTTTGCGGTCAACAAACTGTATGTAATTGATTAAATTTCTCTCTCATTTGCATTACATTTCCTTTACACTGAAATGGGGGAGGTAAAATGATGTACAGTGATAACTCGGTTTTCGAACGTCTCCGTTGACAAACATTTTGGTTTACGAACGCTGTAAAGCCGGAAGTTAATGCTTCTGTTTTCAAACACGCCTTGGAAGTCGAACAAGCTTCCGCTGAGTGCAAGATCCTGAGGCCTAGCTGTTGGGTTTTCAGTTTTCGAACGTTTCAGAACTCGAATGGTCTTCTGGAACGGATTATGTTCGAAAACCGAGGTACCACTGTAATGGCAATATAATTTGCAAGATTTCACAATGGCAGGCATCGAGACAAATAATGTAGTCTTTGGTGGAAGACAAAGTTTCAGTGGAACAGAAACAGCGCTGCAGGCAAAGAATATGAGATAGAACAGAAAAGAATGCCTTCTTATACCTCTAGTGTAGTTCTAGGTGCATAATCTCCCTTCAGATACTTCCAGGCTCTGCTGTGGATGGGATATGGCATTGGGCTTCACTGCTGATGGGTTATGGCAGCTCATAACTGCAATGGGCTCTGTGAAAAGGGAGAAGAAATATCTGCACACATTATCTCCCACCCCACAATACCAGAAGCTTGTTATAACAAAATAATACATTGTGAACTAATAATTATATAAACATGTTCATAACTGAGGAATGTCAGGATTCATACCTGAATAATGACAATCCCAGATGAATCTTATCAGTGCCTGAATTAGATGTAGATTTTTCAGTTGTAGGACATTTGCAGATGAATGTTGATGCTCTTATTTAGGTGATTCTTAGCCTGAAATGATATATTAGTGAGTTTTAAGGAATTCAGATGCCTAAAAAGGAGGGGGCATGAAAAAACAATCTAAAAAACAACATGGGGATTTTTATGAACCGGGGTAGGGGAACCTCTGGTTTTAACAGTGATGCTAGTTTAATCAGTTCCTATATTTTCCATAAATTCTGATTACTGAAACATTCTGGATGTGTAGTGGTCTATACAAAATGGTAAGAATCGGCATGCACTTTTATCTGTCAGAAGGATCATTCTAACAGCCCCTCCTTTTCATCCTCTACTTTCTCCTCTTCTGGGAGAAGAAAACATTTCTTGAGTGATATGACAAATACAACAGGACTGGTAACTAATTTCAGCTTGTTTCTTACCTGTTTCATACTGTGCAAGAGGCCTGTAGCCACTTCACATGACCTTCTTTGTTCCTCACTCCAATGAACTTGACATCTGTAATAAAACTCAGGTTATGTGATCCTCCTGTTAAAATGTACTGCCTACTCTCAGGTTCACTTCAGGCAAGCACACAAGATGGCTGTTCCACAAGCTCTGGTCTTTCATACAGACCTGACGTGGCACAAGTGCTTAAAAAAAACAACCTGTAAGGCCTATGCACCGAGACCCTTAAGGAACTCGCATGGTTGGGTCCCAGCTTCAGCCATTTCCTGCTTCTTGAGTTCCTGTCAAAGGAAAATGTTTTCAAAATGCTGGAGAGATACTGGAAACCACATTCTAACTACAGTCCTGGTTGCAAAATACATTGACTCCCAAATTTTACCCTTTTCCCTGAGCACCACAACCACCTGGAGCAATTTATGGAACGACCACCTTCTGCCTCCTCCTTAACTTGACCTGCTTTTTTCTGCCTTGAGGCTGGAATCTCCCTTGTGAGACATGGGAATGGCATCTGCATCTCAGCCGCGGTGTACCAGAAGGCATTTGCGGTTTGCGTTTGACAAATCTATCCCATGTAAGAAGCATTTTTATGTTTCCTATTTCACTCAGCGTTTCGCTGATGCTAACATGTCTCTTCAGCCTGCCCTGCCAAGGTATTTGGGCTAGATCTCCACCCCCGAGGTCACATTCCTTTGGATGGCGCTGCCAGACTCGCAAGATTAGTTCAAAGGCAGTGGAGTGTCGTCTCTGAATTCACAGGCTCAAATGTCTCACAGACAAGGGTCCCGGGAGCAGGTGGCCTGCTCATCAAATCCCTAAACTACGTCAGCGGACTGTTCCTTACTCTCGACTCGTCCCTCCCCTCCCCCATGCGCTTTCTAGACTGTGAATGAATTCATCTGATCTCTTAAAAGCATACCAAAGGTATGGCTAAGCTCTCCAGTGCTTTCAGTCCGGAGTCATGGGGGCAAGAATCTGCAGCTGTTCCAGGGATAATGAGATGAGGTTAGCACAAGTGGCAGACAGATCTCAAACTGATACTCTGGCTCAGAAGTCCATGATGTGGATGATCCAAAGACATGGTCCACAGAACAGGGAGACTGATAGCATGATTCCACCCCCAACCCCCTCCAACTTCACAGTCTTCTCCTCCTCCTCCTCCTCCTCTCTCTCTCTCTCTCTCTCTCGCTCTCTCTCTTAATTTACAAAATGCAATGAGCACTTTGGGCCATTTATTTATTTATTTGAAAAGAACTATTTATAAGCCAGCTTTTAAGGCAGATGACCTTGCAAGGCAGCCTCTGTGAGGAATTAAAATGCAGCAGCAAATATGGAAAGATTTGAAAAATCATCAGAGGGGAAGAATATACGACTGCGAGACTCAGCCATTGACATAAAATAACATCAACCAGCATTGTGCCATTTGAAAGCAGTCAAGCACACACACCCCTTAAAAAACACCCTCACACAAATTTAATTTAGCTGCCAAAAAGACCATGTAAACCAGGGGTGGTGGGGAACAGTGGGATTGCAGGATGTCTTTGGAAAATACAGCCTGAAATAAACAAGATTTCCTGCCTCTCTGAAGGTCTTCAAAGAAGAGGGCAGATATGTTCTTCCTGGCAGAATATGCTTTAAACTCACTGGGCCAACACAAAAAAGGCCATATTTCTCAGGCCTGCCAAGCAAAGAGATTTCGTCAGCAGGCACTCAAGAAGGTTCCTCAAGGCTGACCTCAAAGCACAGTTAAGCTGGAAAAGGTGAAGGTGATCCTTAAAACAAGGGCATTTGAGAATGATCCATTTACAAGTTGTTCTTGAATTAAGTCACTACCTGCTTTTCTCCAGCTGCTTCCTGATTGGCTTGAGGAGTGCACAGAGTCCGTTCACACAGCACCCAGACTCTGCCTGTTGCACGGCTACTATTTCAGTGTTTGCCATCACCATAATTCAAGCTAGGTAAAGGTAAAGGGACCCCTGACCATTAGGTCCAGTCATGGCTGACTCTGGGGTTGTGGTGTTCATCTCGCTTTATTGGCCAAGGGAGCCGGCATACAGCTTCCGGGACATGTGGCCAGCATGACTAAGCTGCTTCTGGCGAACCAGAGCAATGCACGGAAATGCCATTTACCTTCCCGCTGGAGTGGTACCTATTTATCTACTTGCACTTTGACGTGCTTTCAAACTGCTAGGTTGGCAGGAGCAGGGACTGAGCACCGGGATCTCACCCTGTCATGGGGATTCGAACAGCCAACCTTCTGATCGGCAAGCCCTAGGGTCAGTGGTTTAACCCACAGCGCCACGCGCATCCCATTGCCACCCAAGGCCCCAATTCAAGCTATCCAACCAATGATCAGTTGAGATTCCTGCATTGCAGGGGACTGGACCAGATGACCCTCTGGAATCCTTCCAGCTCCACAATTCTGTGATCGAAATCCTGTAAAGGGTTGTAACTCACGAGCAGGGTGCGCATTTTGTACGTCTGTGGAATCTCCTGGTCGGGCTAGGAGAGGCTCCCTGTCTGAAACCCTGGTGAGCAGCTGCCAGGGACTATAGACAACAGTGAGCTAGATGGATCAACAGTCTGACTTGGTAATCTTCCTATGTTCCTGTCAATCTTGGTTTTGCAATTGTAGAGCATGTCGCTCCCTCTACTGGCTGTCCTCTGATTGCATAGAGGCAAAGACATGTCTATAGTGTTTCAACGACTGCATTATTATTATTATTATTATTATTATTATTATTACTCCATCTATCTAGCTGGGTTTCCCCAGCCACTCTGCTTGATATGAGGAAAGGCAAAGTGAAACTCAAAACCATTAGCAGGCTTAGATACCAGGCTCCCTGATTGTCAAACTAGGGGGCATGCTTCTCTCCCCCGCCCTCCTTTTATGTGAATTGTCTTCTCATTGTCCTTGTTTGTTTATTTGTTTCATATAATTTATACACTGATTGATTGTTAACAAACCTCAAAGCGGTTTACAGAAGATAAAAGAGTAAAATCAAGAGAATATCACAACCGTGCTATGAAAGTTAAAATATGAAAACAGATTAAAATTACCTCAGCTTTCTAAGCATCGGAACAATTGTCGGAACAACAATGTTTTTAGCAGGCACCGAAAAGAGTACAGCAAATGAGCCCAATAGGCAGGGAGTTCCAAAGTGAAGCGGGCATTACACGCGGCGGCCATTTTAGGCACGTTCAACTGATATATGATAGAGATAGACAATGCATGGGCCACATAAAAAGTGAATGCCCACAGTGTAGAGGGAGGCTGTTGCTATGTGAATGGGCAGTGGGGTCCTCCCCTCCAATTGGCCACTCCTGCCCATGTGATAAACCAACCCCCTCCCCTAGGGAGAGACAGACTTTATTATTATTTATTAAATTTATATGTTGCTCTTCATCCGAGGATTGGTGGTTTACTATATAAAGACACAAAAATACGCAACGTAGTAACAAGCAAAAACAATTAACCTCCCACCCCGGTATTAAAAGGCCATAGATTGTTCAATTGGCCTTGAATCTCTTCCAAGGAAGGTGGGTCATGCATTTTGACCCCCCCCCCCAAGGCAGCAAGTCATGAAGATGTGGGTTTACACAATTCAAAGTGTTGGTGCTGACCTTTAAAGCCCTAAACGGCCTCGGTCCAGTATACCTGAAGGAGCGTCTCCATCTCCATCTTTCTGCCCAGACACTGAGGTCCAGCGCCAAGGGCCTTCTGGCGGTTCCCTCACTGCGAGAAGCCAAGTTACAGGGAACCAGGCAGAGGGTCATCTCGGTAGTGGCACCCGCCCTGTGGAACGCCCTCCCATCAGATGTCAAAGAGAAAAATAACTACCAAATTTTTAGAAGACATCTGAAGGCAGCCCTCTTTAGGGAAGCTTTTAATGTTTAATAGATTATTGTATTTTAGTGTTTTGTTGGAAGCCACCCAGTGTGGCTGGGGAAACCCAGCCAGATGGGCAGGATATAAATAAATAATAATAATAATAATAATAATAATAATAATAATAATAATTACTGTGCAATAATAAGGGGCAGAGAAGTGGTGGCTTGCAATGTCAACCATTGCTTTATATGTCTCTCTCAGGACTTTTCCTCAAGACCTAAGAACCCCTTTCTGGAACTTGAGACATCCCTCTCTACATTCCAAATACATTGGCTCAGTTTGGCGTCTAATTTTCTTTTTAAAGGACGGACTGATGTGTTCGGGGAGGGGGCTGGGGAGGGGCTATGTTCCATATCTCCTTGTAGTCTAGACATGTTTCTTTGATATGCTGTATCATGTCCGGATTGCATCACTGCCCTTGGGCAACTCACAATTCCCCCCCCCCCAGTGCAACCTAAGCCCCCCGTCTCAAAGTTCCTCATCGGAATTCCTTGCATGACCCAAGAGCGATGAAAAGTTATCTCACTGGACTGGGTGCCCCCATTTCTTGCAGAGACTTAGAAGAGAGCACTGGTAAACAACACAGGCAAGAGAACAAAATACCGTTCTAGTGATTAGACTAAGTCCTCCATGAGGTTACATTACAGCAAATAATAAGCAACCCCCAGCTGGCTTTTGGGAAACAAGTAAAACCCAAGCCAGGCTCTCTGTGCTTCCTAGTGTCTGGATTTGAAGTATTAATAGCATGTCTTTTGGTAGGAAGCTAATTGCAGAAGGAAATGTTCGCGCTAACTGGGCACAGTAAATTTGCGGCTGTTGCTTTGAAATGATCACTATCTTTTACCTCTCTGCATTGTTTTTTACAAGCAAGAGGGTCTAAAATATGACTCTCCGCCATGCCGTGGGTTTATATATGATATTTTAATGGGCTCTGGCATATACAAAAGAAACGTAAGGTTTTATAAATAAGTTTGTTATATAAAAGACTAAAAAGGGGGGGGGGGCATCTGTTTTAAAGGCCCTTCCAAGAGCAGTTGTTAATGGCTGCTGACAGGTGTTGTTAGGTTTCTTCTCTTTGTAGATATCACAAAGACGCACACACAAAAATCCAGCTAAAAGCATGGTGGTGGGGAAGGAGGATATTAAATATAATCGGAAATATACTCGGAGTCGAGAGTGGATTTCATGCTCTTTATTCAGCTCATAGTGGTGAGGAGGAATGGAAGTTCCCCCAGAATGTCTGCTTTATATACATTATTTACACAGTGGGCCCCACATGATTGGCTAATTCCGGGATTCACCTGTAGGCCAATCAGGTTGCGGATTCACTTCCACCTGGAGCTGGACTGGGTGGCTCCTGTGGACCAATCAGACGGCTGCATTCTGGGCCCTATTGTTCTAGGACCAATCAGACTGCTGCATCCTGAATCCTATTGTTCTAGGACCAATCAGACCGCTGCCTTTTGGATCCTATTCAACTCAGTACATAACATAATCCCCCCCTCCCTGCCCCTACAGATTTATATCACTTTGC